AATATATGATGTGCTAAGCATTTAAGATCATTAAGGACCTATTTTATGAGATACTAGTATATGGAGTCATAAGAACCTAAATTTTTATATCTACTTCTGTTGGGTTGTATAAGGACTTGAGAAAAACCTATTAAATTTTATTCCAGTCTGAGAAGTGCTTATTACATTCTGAGTAAAGTCTTATCTATTAATAGATTAGTTGAATCTTTTGCTTACAACTATTCTTCTATTCAGTTGATATAAATGTATATTTAAGCATTAGAATTTTAGATCAATGGACATAACCTCTTGAGCTGTGTTCCCTCACACCTAATTTGGATTCTATTTTTAGTCAGGGCAAGGGTACAAGTTAGTTGAGTAGCTAAAACTATAGGTTTTGATAGTCTGAGCCTATATAGGCATTCTTCTTGTTCATTATTATTGTAAAATCATGGCATTTTTTTGCTTTTCTTTATCTCTATTATTTCCATCTAATATATTATAGAAACTTTGTCATATATATAATTTAAGGTTGAATGAAAGGAAATTTGTGGACAAGTTTTCTTGCTTATTAGCTATTAAATAGTGGCTCTATTGTATGTTAGTAATTAAAGGAAATCTAAAATGTTCTCCACATTTGATCTTAGGAATAGTCTATTATTATCCAACATGATATGACATATTATAATTGTGGTCTATATTGGGTTAAATTGTGACATCCTTTTTTTGTATCACAGCAATAGTTTTGATGAATTGATTGTAAATAGAACTATAATAATTGATTTGTAGTCATGTGAGATAATTTTGTGTAGCATTATCCATTCATAATTATTTATTTTTATGTGCATATTTTTATTCAAATGTGTGCATTGTTTGATTATCTGATGGATCAGGAAGACATGGATATTAATGGTGGGCAGAGTGCCAGTTAGACCATGACTTTATAGAGTATTATTCTTAATTCTAATTTTATTTCAATGTTTTAGTTTGCCAGTTTAGTAGCACAGTTAATGGGTTAGGCCCAACGTAGGATATTTACTATTAAGCCTAATGAAATAGACAGACATTATAGATGTTTTTTATGGTTGAAGCATATGAGATTTGATAGTGTTGTTGAGCCCAAAGCAGTAGAGGATTGACTTATGAGATTGGATAAGACTTTTGATGACATATAGTGTCCTCGCAAGAGGAAGATATCTCAAGTTGTATTTCTATTATATGGGGAGGCTGAGCATTGAAGGTTGGGCCAACAGAAGAAAAAATTTTAGGGAGGTTGAATTCTCTGATCAGTTGAGAGAAGTTTATAGATATTTTCTAGTTATGGTATGAACCTTCATCTACACGACAGTAGATGCAAGAGATATTTTTGAGGTTGGCTCATAGGAGCAAGTATTTAATGTAGTATGAGATAGAGTTTACTACTCTACTGAAGTATACTCCTTAGTTAATTAGCATTTTTAAGGTGAAGTGTAATAAATTTTTTAGAGGGGTTCAGATAAGTAAGCCAGTGATTCTATTCCATATTTTTTATTTCTTTAAGCTAGAGAAGAGAGCCTATCTGATTAGGAATGATATGATAATTACATAGTAGTGATGGGTCGCTAGTGTGAAGAGGTTGTGTGGTGAGGATTGTGGTTGTGGATTTTTTTGCAAAAAGTAGTAGGTTTGGACATTTAGATTCCATGAGAGGTGGGTATTTTATATTTATTCCTAGTAGTGGCAATGTTGTCAATTTTAGATTTTTTATGAGTGGAGTACTTTGTAAAATAAATACTTTATAGTTGTTCATAAGAGTGTAAAAGCAATGCATAAGAGTCATTTTTTATTTGGCTTGAAGTAAAATGAATGCAGTGTAAAGATTAAAGAAGAGGGTGGTCGATGGACAATGGTTGCGGTGGTTGTAGGTGGCAATGGCCGTCAATGATGGCCGAAGATGGCGAGTCACCGGTGAAGGTGGAAGCTAGGGGTGGGTTGGTCAGCGATCGACGATGGTGGTGGCCAATGGTAGGTAATGGTGATGGCAAGTGGTGGTTGTCGGGAGTCACATTTGGGGTGATGGTGGCCAGTAGCGGTGGTTGGTCGACGATGAAGCGAGGCTGACCACATTTGATGGCAATAAACGGTAGTGGGTGGCAGGCGTCAGCAGATGGTTAGAAAAATGTGGGTGGCTAGTGATGGCAGGTAGGCGTCCGGTGATGGAGGCAAGGAGACTAATGGGGAGGCTGCCGACAATTGGTGGGGGATGTTTGTAGGCTTTGATAATAGCGATGAACTAATGGTGTATTTAAAAAAAGACCCACATTTGAGGAATTCCAAATACATAAAAATGAACTTTAAAAAATACATAAAAATGAATTAGAAAGTGAATTTCAAATGCATCAAAAATTTATACAGCATTTGTTTTACTTTACACTAATAATTAATATTATCAAAACTACTGCATTGAAATACTTTACAATCATTTTCCTTTAAAACAAAACAACACCCATTAGCATTCTTTTTTATTGATCATGTGTGGGTTCTAACGGTGCCAATACTTGACTCAACTGAAAATCCGACTCGGAACCAACCCTAAAAATTCTAGGTTATCGTGATTCGTGCTCACCCGTAGGCCGCACCACCTGATCCAACGTCCGAACTCCGCCCTCTACACCGCACCCAAACTCCGCCCTCAACACTGCAGCACTAGGAGTCAGCTAGCCCTCACACTACACTACATACGAATCTCGCGACTTGCGCTCACGTCCATACTCCGCCCACAGGCTGCAACGCTCAATCTCGTAGACCCACACTCATGTTCGAACTTCACATGCAAGTTGCACCGCTCGATCCAATGAACCCGTTAGGAGTCGACTGTATTCCGGGTTAGCAGGTCAAGTTGGGTCAACTTGGTAACCCGATGTGTTTGGTCTAGGTTAGAGTTTCCAACCTATTTAGAAAATTACATTGGGTTTAGGCAAACACATTTGGATCTAGGTCAATTATTAGTTTGACCTGAACCCGACATGAAAACCCATTTTGACATCCCTAGTGGGTTCGACAACATTTCTTGGCTTCAAGTTATGTAGGTTCCTTCCATCAATGGCTAGCTTTTACTGTAGTTAATAATGGACATTAATGGTGGCTAATTGAGACAACATAAGGTGATGATGATGGACAATAATGAGCATTTATAATGATTTGTTGGAGATGTTGTATTTATAAGCCAAGTTTGAACTATTTGACAAAAATTCTTTCTTTTGAAGTATCCACTTGAATGTTTATTACGTGTGTGGAGTCCGAACGTAATTTGTGTCCAGACTCCAATGAAGACGTGCATTTTTAAAATATATTTTTTCTAGTGTGATCTAATGGTCGGGCTCAAATACATATAAATTATTCTTGTACATACACTATCTTTAATTAGTACACAATGTACTTACAAAAAAATTTATTCACTTTAATTAGATCTTCGCGTCATGCTTGAAAAAATCCACATTTTTTCATTTAATTGAAAGTCCGGAATCCGGATGCAAAACTACGTTCAGACTCCGCTCACAATAATTTCTTGTGAAGAAGAGTTATCACTTATAATTTTAAAAGGGCATTTTAATCATTTCAATCAAAAATAAATCTATTGAATTATTAAAATAAGTCTTGCTTGATTATACATCATATTTTAGTTATTTTACTATCTTCATGATATCATAATTGAGTGATCATAACCTCATTGAAATCTTCAAATCATTCTTTTTACTATATCTTTTGTAAAATTAAAATTCTAGAGTTCGTAAATTTATTCTAGAAATTTCACAATTGAATGTTTGGGTTTTTTTTTTTTTTTAAGATCTTAAAAATACATCAAACTTTGGTCATAGCCAAATAAATTTATAATTGCAGAAATTATGCCCATGTATTTGAACGCCAAAACATGAGTTATAAAAAACACAGGTTTTGAGAAATTTGAAATACAAAATCCTAATTTTGAAAAAAAAAATTTATAAAACATGATCAGACTTTTTTTTATACCGCTCTAATTTTCTTAAAAAAAAAAAAGAGAAATTATCTCATGTTTGACAATTGTGGCAGCGGCCAAAGTTTGCAATTCGTATAACAAGACTATTATTTCCCTTAGAAAAAGGTCAATTATCATGACTTTGGACGATAAACACCCCCCCCCCCCCCC